GGTCACAGTCACACTTCGCCGTGGACGTCGTCGGCAGCTACACACACAAAATTCCGTGAACTCAGTCTGTGGTGCGACGGCAATTCAGTTGCTGTTACAATTTTAGTCATGAAGTAATGTTGCTCGGGATAGCAACGTACAGAGCGCGCATCGCGTCCGAACTTTTTGGCGTTGGGAGCCAGCGTTGCGACGACATCGTTGACTTCGTTCTCGTCGGCGGTGGCGGTTGCGGCGCCAACAGTTTTACTTTACTTTTTTGGTTAAACGAAATCGGTTACTGACTTGACGGCTGCAGCTCCTTCAGCTCCTTTTCCCGCTTCTGTTGCCAGTTGTCGATGTCGATGCATACACAAAAATATCAAAATTAGAAGCCAAAGAATTCAATTTAATTGAAATCAATTCGTCGTGTGCCATAACGATAGAAAAATCAAAGAAGGAACGAAGTAGAAAGAAGTAAACGCATTAGATAAATAAGTAAATGAAATTAAATCAAAGTGTTAAGCTCTCCTTTCTTATTGTGATTGCGGCTCATTAGCATTTTGGCCAGCGTTTTGTCATTTCCTTCGTTTTGTGTTTGTGCCGCTCATCGTAATTCTCGTCACTTTGTCATTAATGTTGGCCACTTGGCGGCTTTTCTATTGCCACGTCCACGCGCCACAACGTCAACAACTTCTACGCAGGCAAAGGCAACTGCTGCAAAATGATGGATTGGGGCATAAGACGTAAGTGCTGCCATTTAACCATTTAACCGACCAACACTTTCCCTTTCCCTCACTTTTACCGTGCTATTTGCTAAGCTGTCAGTTTATTGTTAATTTTTTGCTCCACTTTTGTGTTTTGTTGCTGTTGCTGCTGCCGTTAATGAGCCCTGAACGAAACGTTCATTGCTAAATTGCTTGTATACAGAGCGCTTAAAAGTATGCTATGAAATTTGCTGGCCATTTGCAGCATGTTATTTTTTGTTTTTGCTTTTTTCATCTATTTCTACGTTTTTTCTGGCTTGGAGAGTTGAAGAGCAAAGAAGCGTGAAGCATGGCGTATCTATGCCCAAAGTTTTATTTTCCTCATCGTGCCCTTTCTGCATTATTAACTCGTCAATGTTTGTGGATTGCGAAATGGAATTTGAAAGAAAATTGGCAATGTTTGGAAGTTGGCTGAAAGTTTTTTCAATTTATTGTCCCTTGGGCTATAAGGTTTTTAAAAGCTAGTTTCCCGACATTTACCAACAGACTTCACGTCAATCTTAAATGTAAAGCGACATTTCATATTTATTTTAAATGTTAATGTTATGTGAAAGTTTCTTAACGAACAAATTAATAAAAAGCGACTTCAAATTCAAATTTCCTTCCTTTTTGCAATATGCATTTCTACGAAATATTTGCAATTTCAGTCTTTGAATATCCTATTAGAAGGCAATCAAATGTTATGTCGCTATTTCCTTCCCACATCATTTTTCGCAACCCACTTACCATCTTTCTTTCCAGCTGGCATCTTAAATTTCTTGCTCTTAGTTTCTCACGCTCTGAAACTTTTCGATTGTAAACTAATTCCCCCACAATGTGAGGTGACAGACAAGCTAGCCCAGCCAGCATCCGTGTTAGAAGTTTTCGACTTGTATGTCGCCTGGCAATTTTTAAATGACTCCCCCTGCTATCAATCAATCAAGAAATCAATATAAGCCAACTTAAATTCATGGTGCATAAGCATATTTCACTTGCTTGGCTCTTTGGCAACTACACTGAAATACAAATTAAGTAAATACAGAATATTTGAATTGATATACATATGTGAAAATTCCTGTAAATACAAATAATTCAATTTTAACTAATTTTGCGAAAAAACTAAATAAATCAGAGAAGTTTCATTTAATTAGTCAATAATGTACCTTAACATTTGAAACAGATTTAAATAAATAAATAATATAACAATAATAATTTAATAAAAAAAATATTAAATCAAAATAGGAATAGTAATACAAATTTTAATTAATTGATTAATTCATTAATACAAAATTATTTAAAAGTATATTAAAAAATGTTTTTATTATTAAGTATTGTGCTGCGAATCGACTTGCAGCTTTGGTGTTAACGCGAGAAATTAATACATATTTTATATAAGAGACCTTTTATAAATATTTAGGTGCATTGCAGGTGTTTTAATTAAAATTAAATTAATTAATTAAATTAAAAAACGAGCTAAAAAAATCACATAATTAGAAACAGATTAATTTAAATAAATAACTGTTTATACCATTTAAAAAATATTTGCTTCGGTATTGCTTTCTAAAAATTCAATGCCATTTCTGCCCATAACTTTCAATTCTTAGCTGCTTAACGAGAAAATGTTGTCAGTGTACTACAAAAGCACAACTGGGACAACTGAGACGACCTTCAAGCGCGCTGGGGGGGGGGGGGGGAGTCCAGGCGTCTGCCTTTAAATAAACGACGCTACTGAGGCTGCTGGTGCACTGCTCGAGCTTCACTTTTTAGCCGGCATGGCGCCCCGGGAAGGAGCACATATAGCGAGTGAGCGTAGCAGCCGGAGCAGTCGGAGCAGCGGCAAAATTATGCGCGTGCATTTTGTAAAGTTTATGCGACCGGCAAAGTGACAGCTAGATGTAGATTGAGGGAGGGGAAGGCGTTGGGGCTGGGTGTGTAGTAAAAAATATTTATGAGCAGCCACGTTTGGTTGCTTGCTTCGAAGCCTTTTGAGCTTCATTAGGCATGACCTTTTTTCTATTACGTCTCGAGCACCAAGCACTCAATGTCAATATTTGAGTGGAGGGTTTATTATATTAGTATATTTCTTTTTTCATTGTTGTTGTCGTTGTATTGCTGTTGCGCCCGCTGATAACATCAGAACATTAGTGGAATAAATATAACACTAAATACAAATGTCAGCGGACCACGCGGCTTCTTTAATAATAGATAAATTTAGTTATGCATTATACCTGGGTCATTTGGTAAGCAGATAGAGCTGGGCTATTATCCGATTAGTATTGTCTGAGTGTAGGCTTAATTGTTATTTAATTTACGACCCTACGTACTACTTGTATTACCCTCAAATGAAACAAAAGAAAAAATATTTTAAACGCATCAATTGCTTCTCAATTTTTATTTATTTACTTATTTTTATTTTTTGTCTGATACTCGGCACTCAAAAGAGACGTCCATACAGAGAATTGTCGGCGTGCCATGGCAGAGACAGACAGGACGACTAAGAGGATATCAAACTCAATTTCAATGTCAATTTGTCATCATAGCCGAGCGGCAAGAACAAAGCAATGTGGTCGGAGATGTGACATGCTCTTACATTACTTATGACACTCACACACCCATACCCATACCCATACACATAAATGCACGTTCATTGATGTGTTCAAGTTGCCTTCGCATGCAAATGCTGTCTGAGGCTTTGGCAATGTGCCCAGCAACCAGAAACACGTTCTACGAGTACTGTTGGCACAATTTGATAAATATTCTTGACGTACTCGGCACCAAATTGAATTATTTAGTTTTGTGATTTTTCTTTTACTTTTATACTATACCCTGGCCAAGGGAGATGATTGTACAAGTAATGCATGTCTGCAATTTAAATCAATTGATATTCAATATAGAGTAGGAGACAAGCTCTTAAAATCTATAGATTTATGAATGAAATTCTAAAGGGGTGCTACTATTAGTTGCAAACAAATACTATGTTGGTGTGGGAGAATAAAGAACGTCTATTAAGTTGCATTGCAAATGATAGTCTTGAATTCTTTTACGGATATCTGAGATTTAATTGAATTTGAAAACTTTTTGGGAAAATAATGCTAAGATATTTATGAACAAGCTATAACAAACTATAATCCGACTTGTTGTCTCCCCTTCAAAAACCAAATAAAAAAGAATTAATATTATTATATGTATAGTCGTATTTAAATATTCACTACAAAACCAAAATATCGAACTGAAATCATACCAAATTTGAGAAGCTGTCATAGAAACAATTTTAGATTTCAGAATATCTGTTTACCGAGTACTCTTAAATTTTAAATATAATGTTAGAAAGAAATTAAATATAGAAGAGAACAAATCAGTTTAAAAATGCACTATAACTATTAAGGAGTTTTCAAAAAGACTATATCAATAACATTCAATACAAACTTAGAAAATAACAATTTTGCAATTTCGATAAAAACTATTAACAATGGATTGTAAAATTGTCATTATTTTCTTGTCTTGCATTGAAAAGGAATTAAAATAAATATGTGTAAAGAAATAATGAATTTTAAATCAAATCTACTCTCTACTATATCATAGAACTCAAGTGTATTAGGTCTTCGATGCGCTTGAAATGAAACATCGCTTATGTTTCCTTTTGCTTTAAGTTGACGGCTTGTTTTGATTTGTTGGCGTCGTCCTGTGAGCCGAGGAGGTTTAGTTGTCGTCCAGCTCGGCATCATCGAGGAAATTGGCTATTTGTTTATGAGTTGAAGCGGATTATAATGCCCGAAAACGATGCCAGTGCGGAAATTATGCTATTAATTTTGATAGACCCATAGGGCAGAAGCTGTTGTGCGTGTGTGATAAAGTATTTACTTTAACATAATATTACAGCTCTAAGGTGCTTATCCAGTCTAGACAGATTAGCTTCAAAGTAATGTCATTTACATCAATCACTTTAAAACATAGCACAAGTTTAGCTAAAATACAAATTATAAATGACTATAATTTGTGTGCGATCTACGTGATGTATGATCATATTTAGGGGTTGCTGGGTTGCTGAAGCACCCAAACCCGATCTCTCACCCCACAGAAAACGGGTTGCAGTTTGCACATTTTTTGCATCAAAATAGCGCACCCTTATGAGCAATAAAAAACCGGAAACTTAAACTATACCCACAAGATCATAGGAAACAAATTTTGCATACCAGCATTTTTTCGCATCTTTGCGCTTATAATTCACAATCGGTTTGAGCAAGCGCTGATAGAGCTTCCATAAAATTCCAACACTCATCCTTCCTTGTCTTGGGGAGCAGAAATGTCCAATGAACGTATAGTGAGGATATTGCTGCTGACACCAATGATTTAAAACCCCCGTTCACTGATGTTGCATCGGTGTTCGGAATTTTTGGAAAAGGCTCCCTTACTTCATAGGGGGCCGTCTTATAAATACATTATAGTACAGAAATTTAATTAAGTTTGCTGATATGGGCTCTGCTTGATTCCTGGAAACGGAAATACATGAGTATTTCCTTGCCATTTGTAGTTGGCATTAAGCATTCAGTGGCTATATGTGTCTGTTGGCATCCTTTTTATAGTAATGTGGACTTTTTAATGCGCGTGCAAGCAAATATTTGAGCGAAGAAGTGAAGGCAAACAACGCAAAAGCGAAAGGCAAAAGTGCAAGTTGGTGAACAATAAAGACGTTGACTGTGCGATGCTCGTTAGCCGAAAAGTAGCTTGAGTGTAGCTCATGCTTTTATGAGCACACAACACCCCCACACACACACGCAGAAGCTAACACACACATTTCTGCATACATATTCTTATTGTATATATATCCATTGTCTTCATGGGGTTCTTCTCGCTAGCTGGCTGGTGGGGGTTCGTTTTTTGTTATTTGAGTGTCTGCTGTTGGGTATATTTACTATCCGATAAGTTTTGGATGCTGTGCGATTAGCTAACAATGCCGCTATATGGTATATACATATGTATTATATAATCGACTGCTGGGATTATGCTATCAGAAAACTATGTTATTGAATAACGTTCACTTGCAATTTTATGTAAGACAATGTGAATACTGAAGAATATACGGGAAGGTATAGGAAGTTATTCAAATACGGTGTTTTCGGTTTTTTAAAATAAGTATAAATATATTTGTAAACATGTACGCCTAATTCTGTTTTTACAGATATGGATTGGTTCCAGAAACAACCGTGCAAAAAAAGACATTGATCATATGCAAAAATAGGTGATTGGTTCCTTATCTCTACAAAAAATATAAATGAAATTTTTAATTTTCAAACCGTGTTATATCAAAATCGTGTAAAAACTAATTCTGTTTTGTGCTTATATTAAACATAGAAAAAAAAACTAGTAACTAAAAACTTTTTTAAGGATTTGTACTTTTTTATCATATTATTTGTTTCAACATAAATATGAATTATCCCAAAATTCATTTTCCATTTCAAAACTAATTCGCAAAAGTCAATCAGGTGCGTTTTTCTTTAATGTCAGAGGAACTAACTAACTATTTTATATTTGTTAATCTTATAAACTTAATCGGTTATATGGAAATTTTCTGTTACTTTGAAAGTAAATTAATTTCATTTTAATTTCGTTTATGCAGTTTTAAATTAAATGTTAAGGAATACCATTTCTGGTCTTTTCTCTCCTTGGCTTAAGACTCTCCCTTTCAGCTACACTCTAACCTTGCCCTAGGGCATTCAATCAGCTGTTATGACCACGTTTTTTCGAATTTTTATTGCTGCGTGTATGTGTGTGACACACACACTAGCGCATTCACTGACAGGCACCACTGTTGGTCGGTGTATGTCATGCAAACTTGGTAGCTCGGTAGCAGGGGAAAAACGCAAACGCACTTCTGTACACACTAGCACACTGACACACACACACAGGCACTCACTAATACAGTGATGAAGGCACGAACACACACTCTGCGGAAACATTGTAAACTAAATGTTGTTTTATACACTCGCACCCATACACATATACTATATGTATATATAAAGACCATAATTTACTCTGTTTGCTTTATACGCTGTATATTTTTTGGTATCTGTGTGTGTGTGTGTGTGTGTGTGTGTGTGTGTGTGTGTGTGGGAGCGTGAGTCTGTGTTGGTTGGTTTTTCATTCATTCATTCAGTCACCCATTCAGTCCGTCATACAACGCAGCAGAATGCGAGCCACGACGCCTTTACTTTGGCCGCATTGCTCATACGCTCAGTTATCCTTGCGCTGTGTCAACGCATTGTTGTTGCCCGTGCTGTGCCTTGCCGTGCCGTGTCCTGGCAGCACGTCACGTCACAGCGGCCAAAACACAAGTGGCTAGCGAGCGAGCCAGCCAGTGAGTGCTAGTGTCAAACATTACGGTTAGTTGTGTTTTGCGGTCAAATTAATTTAAATAAATAAAGAAAAAAAGTAAAAAAACAAAGTTGTAATTGCGCCGTTTGAAACTTTGTCGCATTTTGCGGTTACCGAAAAAGTGTCCAAACATTTTTCATTTCAATTTTGCAATTGCCGTTTATTCCATTTCGTTTTTTTTTTCATCTATTTGTATTATATATTTTGTTTTTTCACGTCAATTTATGGCTTCCTCCCTTCTTGGCTTCCCTTTTTCGGTTGCATCCTTTGCACGTAAATTAAATTTTCACATGCTTTGGCTTTCATAGCTGTCAGGACACATAAAGCTCATGTGTGTGTCTCACTTTATGTATGTGTGTGTATGGTGTGTGTGTTCACAACCAAGCAGTCGACAAGGAAGTCAAGGAAGGCTACCATTTCTGCTGAGAGTGCGCACACCATTAATTTATTAAGTCATAAAAAATGAAATTTTTCTTGTACAAGTGTAAAAATTCGAAAGTCGTTATCTACAAATGAGAATGTGTGTGTTTTACCCGGCTGTCATGTTGTCCTTTCGTCCTGCTTGTGCGTCTGTATGCATTAGCCAGCCAAGCCAAAAAACAAACAACAGCGGCAAGAGCACAAGCATCAAAAATCAATAAATTTTGTGTATGTTATTAACAATACAAAAAAAGTACCACAGCTAAACAACAGCCACAACAATGGCACCACACTTGTCCTGTGTGTCTCTCCGCTCTGAACGTGACACACTACAAATCGAAATGCATAACTCAAAAAGTGGAGGGAAAAGAAAACGGCAAAAAAAAAAAATAGAAACCGCAAAATCCAATCTTCATTTTTGTTCTCCACACTATCAGACAGAGTGTTTTGTTTGGAAACCTAATGCAAAAGCTTTGTCTATTAGTTTTGGATTTAAAATGTACATCATGCACTTTTAAAACATAATATTGTTATTTTCTAAAGCAAAGCTATTGAAAATGAAATAAGAAAATAAATTCATATTTATGTTCTGAATTCTTTCAAACATTGTACTAAAGAGAAATGCAAAATATTTTCATTTGATTAAATTATTGTATTAAAAAATGTTGGCCATAAAACAAGAAATAAATTTTAAACTAAATATATTTATAATATAAAATGAATTACTGATAACATAAACAAAGTTATTTCTTCAAAGAAAATGGAAATATTCAAAATTACTAAAAATGTGACTTGTGGTCATACACATACTGTTTCCTTCCTTATTAATATTCTTCCGTATCAAATCAATCTACCTATCAAGAATCCTTTTTTTTTTAGAGGAGAATCTCATATTTCCATTAAATCCCAGCATTAATCAGTGTGTACGAAAACAATTAAAAAAAAAACAAAGGTTCAATTTCTTAGCTATTGTAACTTAACTTTCCATAATTCCAAATTGTCTTCTTACTTTCCCAATTTATTGCAATTTTTTCGCGCGGTGCATGCCAAACCCAAATCATACCATAACGCAATCATCCATATTTCACCAAAGGCATTGACAACAACAAGATGGGACTGTCTCTCTGGTATTTTGGCATTTTCTTTTCTTGGCTTTTTTTCTTCGTCTTCGGTCGGTGCGTTATATTTTCTTTTGTTTCAGTGCGGCAATTATACTTTTATTGTTTCTGTTACCAAATTGTCTAGCAAAAATGATGATAGCTGCCGGCAGCACTTGACTGGCTGCTGCCGTCGTCATCAAGGCACCCCCGGAGTGCGGTAAATTGTTAGACGTGAGGGTCGCATGGAGGGGCATGTAGATAATTAGATTTTGTACATCGATAACGTCTGCTGACTGTATTTGTAGCCAGATAAAGTGGCCGTATGGAGTGGGAGTTCTTCAAGTATACATATGTTTGCTTTAACATTAAATAAAGCAATCGAGCTTAAAGTGGCTGAGTTTTTATCGTCTATGTCTATTTTTGGCTGCTGATATGCGGAGCACATAGAGTCAATATTTGGGCTACACATACATGGAACAGCTAAAGAGTTTGAATAGAAAAGTGTTTTTCGAGAAGTTGTTGAACAAAAATATGTTAAAGGTTTTGAATTCATTTGAGTCATTTGAGAATTTAAGTCAGAATTTAAACAAATAAAAAAATCACTACATATATAGAATTATCAATTATTCAATGCTCAGAGCAATTGAGTATTGCGAAATTCTTGCAATTTAATTTGATTTAAATATACATAATACAAGTATGTATAAATTGTAACAAAGTTTTTTAAATAAAACCATTCTTCCTTAGTTATGTGTTTTATGCTATCATGAAGATAATGTCAGACTTTTCATATTTTCACAAAAAAATTTAAAGCCATTTTGTTGTTAAATCAACAGCCCGTCAACAGGTTCTTAAACCAACTTGTCTAATTGTACGTAGCATCCTAGGCGTTGCCTTTCCAAATAATTGAAGCCTTAAGGTTTAGCTCGGCAGAGACATAAGCCATAATTGCTTTCTCTTGCTTGCTTCAAATCATATCAGCTGCCAATCGAAAAGGCTTTGCTTTGACTTGTTGTGCCGCACTTAAATGGGCTTTAAGTTTGTTTTCGGCTTATGTGGCTGCAGCCTAAGACTTGTGTTTGAATTTCTGTTTGTGTCACAAAAGATGTTGCCTCATTAAATTTTCATTGTTTTACTATGCTCAGCACACAAATACAGATACAGATGCACAGACAGAGAGCTCAGAACAGTCGAAATGTCAGGGCATCTGAAAATGTCTGGGCTTTGTGCTTGGCATCCCAAATGAAAATGGCCAACAAAGACCTTCATCTCATCTTTGGATTTGGTTGGCTGCTTCCGGAGACCTTAAATTCGCAACTGCCACGTTTTACGACTAATTTGGCTAATTTCTCCAACACATGCTGCCACGCCCATTATGGTCGAACGGTACGCTGGACGGTTAGTCGGCTGGTCGGCTGTTCTGTTGCTGGCACGGCTCGGCTCTTTCAAATAAAATCAATCTCAGTCAATTAGACGAAACAAAAGCGTTGCCAGGCTATTGAAATGAAT